TTTTAGCTTGACCTCACAGGGAAAGTCCTCCAGCCCTCTGATCATCTCTGTGGCTCTCCTCTGAACTTGCTCCAAGAGGTCTATGTTCTTAAAGATATTATTCAAGAATAATCTTCAAAGCTGCAGTGTAACCAGCAAAGAAAGTAAATTAGTTTTGACATCAGCTGCAGCCATAAATCTTACCTCCTTACTTTTCTATCACAAACTGTTTTTGCTGCATCACACTGGCACCAGCACCAAACACCAGAAAGCAGATCAATGCTCACTTCTTATTTGAAAGATTCAAGGCTCAGGGTCTCCTCATTGGGTTTTTAACTATCTAACAATATTCTACATTCCTGGCAAGCACAAAATGAAAATACATTTACACTTAATGAACAAAATGCATTAAGGGGGGTTATTAGGTATTTAAAGACCTTAACTCAATTTTAACTGGTGATGTGTACACTAACAGGAGTTTTAAAATAATGATTTATGCACTCACTACTATCTTTGAATTATTTTTCCTGGCAGTATCTGAAAAAAAAATGAACTCATAATACATTTATGAGCTTTTTCTTTTTTTGTTACCAATTAAAATCTTTTTCACTGCATTTTATTTCATAATTACTTCATTGCCATTTTAGGAAACCCTACAGAAATTAATAACTCATGATAACGTGTACATAGATTTTTAATCACTCTTTAGGAGACAGCCCTAATGAGTAAAGCCTTAATTAATTCTGCATGATAATATAAGTAGTTGACAGAGAAGATATTTTCCTAATTTCTATGGATTGCTTTCATGACAGGATCCTGTTCTTTCATTTCCTTTTGCCTAGCAAACCAGGAACATGACAAGAAATAAAATAATTAAAATAATAGTGGTTCATGAGTTTTTGAGAAACCTTTGTAGCTTGCAAATTTTTGAAGAGTTTCCAGAGGAACTGCTGACGAGGATCTGTCAAACCGCAAGATTTTGAGAAGGGAAGTCTTATTTTCAGTCACCTGAACTCCCTACTTATATCTCTAGATGCAGTGAAAAATGGCTTCTCCCAGTGGCTAAGAATGAGTTTTAAAATTATATGTCATAAACATTAGGACCAATCAACCCTGATTTTGTGTGGATTTGTATCTTGTGGTTGATTACAGACTCCCATTGGAGCATTTCTTGTGTTTGCAGGAGGCCTTACTTCAGTAGAGTCTCTGATGACTAGTATTACACTCAGTAAAGGTGTTTCTAATCAATCACCTGTTCTCACTAAGTTTTTAGGCTTTCAACTCCACTGGAAGCATTTTTCCCTCTTCTGATTTGACTGATATTAGTCAATAAATTGTGGAGAGAAGTACTGATGGATCTATGTCCAGAGTGTGTGACTTTGTCTCATTTCCAGGTCTTCACTAAGAAATCTGTGGCAGAGACAACTGATTACCCTAAAATCTTATTACCCACGGTTGCACAGCTGCTCATAAGCTTTATCCTCTCTTTTTCTGTCAGCAAGTGTCTTCCAACTCGTATATGATTCACCGCAAAAAAGATCTGTGAAAGCCAATCATCTTTCTCTAATATTTAAGGCAGGGAAAATGCAGCCTTGCTGGCCACGTATTTTTAGGGCTCCTTATTGCCACTCAGTTGCTTTTATAAAGCACAAAATAACGAGAACAGCAGTGAAGATTTACCATAAGGTGGCCACAGATTTTAAGAAACTAGTACTTGTTTTTCTTTTGCCATTTAATACTCCTGGAAAAATGACAGTGTAATTTAGATATGAAAATAATATTTGTAGGTAGAATATAGGAAATCTATTTAGTAGACTTAAAACTTAACAGAAAAATACAAATTATAAAATATAGCAGATATATGTGATCTCACAGAGAAAATACTGAGGAAAAAAAACCTCAGTTTTTAAAGCCAAAGCAGGATTTTTGTACTCACTTGTAGTTAAAATGTAGCAACAAGCAGTTGGCCTGTTTCTTCATTCATTTTAGGAATGGACTGGATTTAGATTCTACTTGTAATTCTACCTGTGTATTGTAAAATCATATAGACTCCCACTTATTTTGGAAACATGATAGCCTTCTTCCTTTCTAAGTCTATTTTTAAAATTAATGCAAGGACAATATAGATAAGGAAAAAGGAACTTTGTGGAGAATAGTCACATTTCCCTTTACTTTCCTCTCCTCTTCACTGTCTACTCTCATATCAAAATTCATACACTTCACATAAATAGGATATTCCCAGAACACATTCCCTGATATTTAGGAAGGCCAGCATTTCAGTTTAAATCCCACTGCCGTGAAACCACCACGCAATATGGATAAGAAACAAGAGGAGATTAAGCACCATTTCTTCTACCTTTCTTTGAAGAAAAAACACTTAGGTGATTTAGAAATATATTATCTTTCAGTTATAGAGCACCTATGAACAAAAAGACAAGGAGGGATCAAAAAGCCTGAAAAAGAAGGAAATCAAGCAGGAAATCAAGTCTTTAGTTAAATGTGTATGTGTGAGGTTGGATGCAGATGAGTAGTGACCAATGGTGACCCTCTGATGGGTGTCTGTCTTCTGACCTATGTGTAATGAGACAGTTGAAGCAATTCAGTATGAGAGAAAGAGGCTAGTCCAAGGTTTTGGCAGAAAATTCAGGTCGAACATCATATTATATTTTCCCTTTTCCTTCTGAGTGAGAACTATTATCCTGGATGCATACACAAAAATTGATTAAGACATTACCATTTAAATTGAGGTAGAGAGCGAAGAGGGGAGAGGAGAGAGGCTTAAAAGAGGGTGCTGCAGAGCACTGGGCAGGAAGATAATCAAGAGGGAAAGAATGAAATAGCCCTCATAATCTCCCAAAAAGTTGCAGGACTAGGACTCCAGAGGCTCCAAGCCTCTGAGTAAAACAGAGTGAAAAGCTATGCTCTATCATGCCCATGGGTTTATAAGGATGCCCTTCAGGTACACTGACACTTCACTGCTGGGGCAGAGCCTTCATCAGGAGGTGCAATTAGAGCAGCAACACACAAGAGGAAAATTGGGCTGACAGGGTTGTAACAGGGGTGCAAGAACAGGCTTCTAAGAACTCCTTCCCTGGACAAGGAGGGAAAATTAATTAATGCTGAACAAGGCAGCAATAGGTAGATGTGTTCAGGGAACAGAGGTCAGGCCATCCAGGAGCTTGCCAGAAGAGTAATCACCCATGGACAGCAGGAGTCAAGGATGCTGCAGTCTAGGCAAGGCAGTGAGAGCAGGGACACTGTTAGGGGAAGGCAGGGCTTGTCCCGATCAGTGGCGTGCAGAGCAGAAATCCCCACATGTGGGCTCACTCAAACTCATAGCCTCATGGATCTCAGCACTAAAAAGAGGATAAACAGTGTTAGGAGAGGGCCAGTTTTCAGTGGTACTACCTATGTCAATATGTTTTGTTTTGTTTTGGTTTTTTTTGTGTTTTTGTTGGTTTTTGGTTTTTTTTTTCTGAAGACCATCCTACTATCCCTGATTTGATGAAATGCCTACAGGAACTCACACAGAGCTGCTGAAGTGGTTCATTCCCATCACTCTGAGCACTGAACATAACTGCAAATCAGGTATGATCTCAGCTGTTATTAGATGTAGCATTTCTGCATAGGGCAGACATAACAAGTGGTGAGAGGGTGTCAACTTTCCCTTCTCCAGTAAAAGAGAAGACAAGGAAAATATTTTACTATTAGAGTGACGGATAGGGTTAAAAGCTAACAGAACAGCTTAGGAAAAGAATAATTTAATGCATATAGTTAATTAAACCACTTAATTTAAGAATTATTAGATAGATGGGGAAAGTAATAGACATTTGTACTGAAGACAAGATTAAAAGCAGTGATTTTTTAAAAAAATCATTAAAGTAGCATTCATATCAAAAATAGTGAATAAGCAACAGACCTATTTCCTGCTAAGTTTTGGTAAAACTAGCATTAAAGAAAATAAACACTCACATTCCATAAGTGGGAAACTAAGGAATAATCCATTAAGGTTAGTCATAGGACTGTGGTAAGATTTGACTTAAAAGCAAGAGCTGTTCAGAAAGTTTTGCTTCAAATGAGGATTTAAGGGAGAAAAAAAAGCCTGGAAAAAGATGGCAAAAAAACCCTGATGGTTTTAATATTTGTCTTGGTGAACTTACAGAAAGGGTTATAAGATGTAGTGATCTGCAACAGGCAGAAACAACCAGGTTGACTTGCAGTATAACAATGTCCTCTTCCTCTGAGAAGTCTAATGACTTGATAACAAGAAGGAGATGGTGGACAGGGAAGAGTATAGCTGTCTTATTTTTAAAAACTGAAAATGTAAAACACTTTGAAAAACTTTCTGAAAAGAAAGGAATCAATTTGGTTTTGTTGAATTTTGCACAGTAAGTTTGAAAATGTATCACAAGGGAACTTGAAAAGTAAAAGGCTATTTAAGGCAAGATATCTCTCCAAAATGGTCTTTTCCACATAAAATGTTTCCTTACTTAAACTATGTTCACCTTTATTTCAAGGCAAAATGTTGTGAAGAATCATGCTAACTACATAATAAACAAAAATAAGAAAAAAATCAACAGTATGGTAACAGGGGAGAGTTGTTTCTCTGTGAAGTCAACATCAATCCTTTGCCTTTTTTACTGACACAATGTTATATGAGAGGCTAATCTAAATCAAAAATTGGGATAATCTGACTAAAACAATTACAGAGAGGAATTTGGTACCATTTCAAAGTCTTGATCCCAATGAATGGGCTTGTGGCTCACAAAATTTTCCAGGAAGTCAATCCTTTGGCTCCCTAACCCACTCTGTGCACTCCAGTGTTGATGATTAGTTTTGAGACTTTTAGATAGAAAAGTCATATTAATTTCTGTGCTTCATCGCTCTGTGTTCTCTCTGCTCTGAAGAGAAAGATTACAATATTTTCCTCTTTTTTATACTTCCCATCAAACAGATGTCATTACAAAATAGTGATGAATTCCGCATAATTGGTGCCCTTCAAACTAATTACATCTACTTACCTCTCACGATTAATTGGCTTTGGTGCTCAACAGCTGCTGCATCATTTCTAGCTATACAGGTATAATTCCCATTGTGCATCAGTGAAAGATTAGAAATCCTTAAGGAGCTGGTGAAGTCGATGTTATCAATCGTCACCCCGAGGCTGGCTGGGATCGGCCTGCCGTCCTTCTGCCAGGTGATTGTGATAGGCAAATCCCCGGAGACCACCACGCAAGGAATGAAGACCCGCTGCCCGATGGAGAACCGTGGAAACTCAAAAGGCTGAATAAAAGGTGGAACTGAAACAAAAGAGGAAAGAGGATCTATTGCAGTTACGGTCTTGTTTCTGTAAATAACATAATGGAACAGATATGCAGTGCTGAATATGTAAAATCAACACCTTCGACAGCCATGGAGAATTGTTTAGCTAAAAAAATCGCCAACTTTTGCAAATATCCTTTTTGACTACCCAATGCATAAGCTGTGAAATCCCTGGCTTCTAGGGACACCAGACACCACTGGCAGGTTCCTGAAAAGAGTATTGAGCACCTCCTCAAGAAATCACACTGCCATCTTGTGACGCACCAGGACTTTCAGCAGTAGGATTGCCTGGACAGTCCACGAAGGTGCAAAAGCCTTGCTTAGAGTCACAAAATAAACCTGGAATAGGTGCCGGCTTTGCCTCTGGGATGTGATGAAAGGGAGTGTAAGCTTCTCTAACTGCTCCTGGCACTTATTTCTTAGTGTTTCAAGACACAATTCTCAACAAGACTGAATAGAGGTATGAAGGGAAAGGCATATACAGTCCTTGTAGGAAAGCAAATTAAATTAAAACAGATTTCTAAATGGAGAGCTAGTACAAGGCATAAACTCTCAAACTGACATTTAAAGCCTGCTAAGCGTATTTTACATTTTGGTCTTTTTTTTTTTTTCCTAATTTCTGTGGCTGAACCCACAAACATGACAGAAAGGTTCTTACTTTCTATCAGAGGGAAGAATTCCACTTCTTAGAAAACATTTCATTTAGAGGTATTTTTATTAAAAGAAAGGAAACTGTGGGTTGGATACAATTTAAAAAAAGCAGAAATTAATAGGGATGCCTCACTTTCTCCAGGTTGTGGTTGCAATATTTACTAGCAGTTTGGTAAATTGAGAATCAAATACCTACCCAAAAGAAGGAACTGAAATCTTCGCCCCTTCTCAGGGGAGCAGTCTAACAGCCAGAGCATTGATCTAAGATAGGCTTCTATCAAATACTTCTGAAAAGACTATAAAACAAACTTTGTAAGCAGTACTCAAATACTTATTTATCAAAAGAGAAGTTTCCTAGACGTTACATGCCTTAGATATAGCAGTGCGTTTTCCTATTCTTGCCTGAAAGACTGCTTATCTATACTCTGTAGTACATTTGAACATGCATTTATACTGCTGTATATTAGCTAGCTCTGGAAGAAAATTGAGCTGGTGGCTTTCTCTAACTGCATTTCTTATGTCCTTTCTCCCTTTAACGAATATAAGGCTGTGTTTTCCCCAGCACTGAAGCAGAAAAGCAGAAAACATCTTCAGAGTGGTTGTGATGCACACCAGCCCATTGACTCCCTAGCAGCACTTTTGCCAGTGTCCTTAATCTGGGATGCAGGGATAGGTATTTGTGACCATGACTATGGTAGTTCTTTTGATCATTGCATATGTTGGCTGCTCTTCTGTCGGGAGTGAGAAAGTTTGTCATTAAAAAAGTGATACAAGCCCCTCAAAGGGCAAAGGCACCGTTCAAGGCATGTTCAAAAGCTTTTGTACATGCACATCATGTTGCAGAAATTGGGTATTAACTCCGGTGTTTCTGGCATAGCTGTGATGCCCTTTGATGAGAAGTTATGACCACACGTAGCTGCCACAGAGGTAACATCAGGCACAGGGTACCACAACTCATCCTTACAGGCTTTCCCTGACTTCTTCCGAGAGCAGCTCGCTGTCTGTGGTTGTGAAAAGTGCCATGGAAATCAATTTTTCTCACATGCTGTAATGCCTTTTCCTGACTGCCATCTCTCAAATCGCTAAAACCTGTCCTGTTGTGTTTTGAAAATCTGGTAGATCGAGCATACAGAAAAAAGAAACCCAGTATAAATTACTGTGTTTATTTCAACTTTGAGCACTGGAAATAAACTGCTTTTTCACTTGGGGACCCAGTGTCACAAAGTGAGGCAAAATGTCTGCCTGCCTCTTCTAATTACCTTAGTGCAGCTAATACATTCACATGAGATAGTTCAGATTCTTTGTACATCAGCAGAAAAAATTCCAAATTTCTATTAACATTTATTGACAACAATTAAAGTATAAGTGAGAATGAGCATTTTTTAGAATGAGACTGTCAAAAGATTTTGACATAGCCTTTCCTCTTGATGAGTGCAAATGTCTGCTAAATGCCAAGTGCCCCTCTCCCCCCCAGATTGCTGTGTTGGCTAGCACATTTCTGCTCAAACCCTTCGCTTAGTCTCAGGCATCATTACTGAAAGACATGCTAAAATTCACAACAGGGTGGCAAATTGCTTCTGTATTTTCTGCTGAGTGTGTAACAAATTTGAACCAATCTTTCATGAACAAAACGATATCAAAAGTCAGACAACATATTGCTCAAGGAATATTATGTGCTTCCTCACTCTCCATCTCCCTGATGAAGAAAAGAGGGAGCCAGATCATTAGGTCACATTGAGGTATTTTTCAGAAAATACTGACTTGCAAAGATGCATTTACTAACTCTAAAATTTAAGTAGCAGCCTGCAGAGCATTTCAGAAATTGGCTAAAATATTTATAGACAGCACATTTTGCCTCTACTTGGGTCTTTAAGATACAAAGGAAACCAACATTTATTTCTGCTTCATAAAATATAATGTATATTCAACCTTCAGCAGCTTGCATTCCTGACAAGGAGCTTTTTTAAAACCAGTGTATAATTTAAAATCAGTACTTAAAAAATAAAAAATAGCCTAGCAATAACTATGAAGTATTGAATATTTTTTTTCAGCTACAGTATTTACCAGTTTGGGCTGATAAATCCAGTTCCTGGTGAACTAACATAAAAGATAAATTATCTTCCTGATAGTTTGAAGAGGGGAACAATCACAAAAAATCACTTTTTAAAAACATAGACTAAAACAAACCTGAAGTTGAGCAAAAAATTTATGAAATACAAAGGTTGCTATATGTATGTATATCTATCTATGAAGTAAAAAGTTGACATATTTCCCTGACAGAAGAAAATATCAAACTTGATCAGTCTGCATGTGGGTTATTTTTTTGTAAACTAAAGCTATATTATTGCCAAGCAGCACTGAAAAAATAAGAGGGATGTATACTACTTTAACTCCGAGAGACAAAAGTTACACTAGGACAGATGTATTTTAAATGTTTAAAATACTTAAAGGTGTGTTGAAGTATTTTCCTTCCCTATACGTAGCTTTGTTTGATGACACTTCAGAGCTTGTATTTGATTTTTTTGTTAAGTTATGTTATTTTATCTATAAGATGCTACATGTTAACTATATAGATACAGGGCTGTATGTGTATGTGTGCTTGTGCATATGGAATGGATGTTTCTTCTTCTATCCTCAATGGACAAAAGAGTGAAAATCTCTGCTTCATGCAATGAAGCATAGTGTCTTGGGAATGTTTTATTGACAAGTGCTTGAACTAAGTATCTATTTAAGAAGAAAAGCATGGGCCAGCCTCATTAGTGCTAATGCAGAAAGATTTAAATTATGTTTTTGTGCCCTAGAAAGGTCTTCTCTACCTCTGGGAGATTACTGTGAAGAAGGGCAAGGAGGGCTTCCACACTGCTCTGCATTAGTAGAGAAGCATTCTTAATTTCTTGCCCTCCGTTCCATGGGAGTTACGTTGGAATAAACTGCTGAGATGATTTACTAAAGCAGAGTATCCTGCAGATAGCCTGTCTCCTGCAGCAGCCTTGTGAACATGGTGTTCCTCTCCTGTGAATCTGCCTAGTAAAATTAAAGTCATCTTCTGATTTATCATTAGAAGCAGCTCCATAATAGATTTTTTTGCAACAACACTGTTGCAGGATCTGTGCCCTCAATATAAAATACTTTTGGCAGTGAATACTCACAACAGAGGTCCATTGGCTCATGTAAAGTAATAATCACACGACTACATAGCCATTTAAGGTAGCCATGTGACCCTAGATTTCATGCGCTGGGAGTGCAAAATCCAAACTATTTTGTCTCTGCACAAACCCTGAGCAATTCTACAGTTGCTGAAGCCCTGGGTTTTTCTGCTTCTTTCTTGTATGTATTGAGCCTTATCAGTAAGGCATGTCACTCATTGAACTATCTGTTAGTGGCATGTACAGAGCCAAGCCTCATACCCTTCTCCCTCCTTGTGTGCTAATGTATCTTGTCTTGAAAAGAGGGAATACCTTTATATTCTTCAGGCCTTTCTAAGAGTATGCATTGAAAAAAAAAGAACCACACTAATCCCTATAAATGCCTCTGCTGTTGCACAACATTTCCCTCTACATACAGGTTCATCAGTTACCAAAATCAACCCTGCGAACACCTTCAAAAAACATCTTCAAAATCTTACCACAACAAGCTGTGGTATTTTATTGGGAACTGTCACTGAGCATGGCAGAGCAAATGCAGTAGTGCATATTTCCCAGGGGAGCTTACAAAACACTTCATCCTTCACCTTAACCTCCACTCCCCTTTTCTGCAATGCAACACTGGTAGCTCAGAGGCTCCCTGACGCTGTTCTGGGAGATCCTCCAAAATAAGAGATATGAAATGTGGTGTAGAAACCAAAAGTGCTTTTATGTCATGTCTCATCCATCTACTGAACCACCTCCTTTCTGCCTCCATTGTGAGGGGAAAAGTGCATGCCCTTATCATATAAAGCACGCTGCAAAGCTAGAATGGTAGGAAGCTCTATTTGCTGCCCAAGGGGATGCATTTTCTATTTATTTATTAAAAGAGAAAACCTTCTTGATTTGCAGATAAGATAACAGCTGCAAGAGTACATTAACACAACAAGCTGTTACCTTCATTGTTAAAATGCCACCTGATAAAAAGCCTCACTTTTAGGCTATGTAGCCAGAGGCACTTAGCAAATGTTTTACTATGCTTTTGGAACCTGGTCCAGAGCTGTTGTCTTTGTTTAGCCCCTACATGACTCAAAGTGATTTTTGTCCTCAGATAACGCTATGAAATGCTGAAACCAACTAAATCACTAGAGCAAAAAGTTCCAGATTTACATGAATGAGGACTTTAACAGAATGATCTCTGGCTC